ATAGAGACTAGGCCAGCTAATCCGAGGAGCCGTGGAAGACGAGGGAGCAGGTCTGAAGTGCTCAGCGTCTAAAAGCTCCCTGCCTCTCAGCGCCTTAGTCTTCATTACCTGCACCTCCACTTTTGATTGGCTGCGTTTATCCTGAGTACCCCAAGTTTCCCCCCCCCCTCTCTCTCCCGCTCGACAACTCACGCCATTGAGTTGCCGTAGCAACCCCCAAAGGCAACAACTTTGACTCCTAAAGTTGATAGTGTATCATGTGCAGTCTGGAGACAATGGCACCGCGCCACACGTCCGGCGGTTGCACCGTTGGGTTTGTGGGTGTTGGTGGGATCTGAAAGGAGAACATTGCACGCCCTTGGATGTCGCTAAGTGGCAAAGATTATTTGGTTTCCGGCGTTGGAAGCCGTTTCTTTGGCAAGAACTAAGTCCTCCTGCGATTGAAATGGAAAATGAGCTGGGGGTCTTAAGCCCCCCGCGCTTGTGCCACGCAGTGCCCAGTGGCTTCACATTGCTTATCTGGAGTCAACGTCCACACTCCAGCTCGGTGGGGTTCGGGGGGGGGTAAATGCTGGCAACCGGAGCCTTCCCACGATGCTTTGTTCAGGTGGCGCCATCCGTTGATGGCTGCTGTGCCTCCACGCTGCCAGAAGCCGCAGATTGGGTCAAACTCGGTGGGACTTCGGGACTGTCCCGTTCTCGTACGCCCATGAGATACTTCCACTTGGACTCCAAGAATCACATTTATGACCAAAGCATTGTGTGAATAGGATTTTCTAATAGGATGAGGTGAGGAAGTGATTACGCTTCGTACAGAAATGTTCCAGATTGAGGCTTCGACTGATAAAAGGGACGGCATGGTAATATGAAAATGAAAATATTCAAAATATGTCCATTTATAGCACTTAAATAAGTAACCGGCCCGGGGAAAAGACTCTAATGCGAGATGCAGTATGTGTATTACAGCCGCAGAACATACGAGCAATTTCAAACGCGTCTTTGGAACCACTAAAATGCATCACACTTTAATGTGTAATTTCAAAATAAAGATTGCTGGAACCCTTGAACTACACCTCCACTACAGACCGGCCCCAAGTCCGCTCCAAAAGGCAGCGATTCCCCTTCAGCAATATGTACTTCAAAGTACACACACACACACACACACTGGTCTTTCCTTCCAAGAGGAAATGCATCGGTCACCATTATTTCGTTCCCAAAAGGCAACGCTTTCATCTTGACTCAGCAGCCTCCCTTGACTGCCTCTTCTTTCTGTGCAACACACACGTGCAGAATCAGAGCGGCGAGCTTTTCATCCCCTTCTTTCACACCTTCGTTCTCCCGTTAGACTCAACCTGACCCACATTCCTTTCATTTTCCATCCAAAACCCGTTCGTGCGTCACCTATTTCCTCTCTGGGTTTTCGCCGTCTCCACTTCAGGGTTCCTGCATGTTCTGCACCGCCGGTGAAGGCGGTCCGGGGCTCTTCCAATGTGATGATTCTCATTTCGGTTTTAATCTGGTTTGCGCGGAATAGCCGGCGGAACTTTGACCCTTAAACTGCCAACTGTGACACCAGGATCATCACAACGGAAATAAAAGCAGCGTTATTAATAACCACCACTGGGCTTTTTGTGACCCTAAGCTGGATGATTGGATTCAACCGTCCACAGCTTGAAGACCAGCTGTAAATCTGTGGCGATGGGGACACGGGGGACGCTGGTGGAGATTGGGAATATATATATATTTTTTTTTAAAGCTTGAAAGAGCTTTTATTTTGATAGATATTGCGCCCTGTTTTTCCAGCCTGTCAGTCCAGCCCTAATCACATATATTCTCATTATGTGAATCGGAGACGTTAATTAGGGTTAAGGTCAGCCTGGTGAAGTGTAATCGCTCGCTATCAACCATCATAAATTATGGCGAGCAGCCATGAAATGATATTTACGGCTGTGGCTATGGCGGCGGCGGCGGCTATTAGCCGTGCCGCTTAACCAATGAAATCCTCGCCATAGTCCGCCAGGGGACGTCGTCCACGGCCGGGGTCGAAGGTTAGAACCCCCGCCTAAATCCGTCTGATGCTGCCGTGTGCGCATGCGATTACTCGTGCATGTCTGCGACCCAGATGTGTGTTTAATTGGTGGAGCTACGCGCACACACACACACACACACACGAGGCCAGCTATTAATCTGTGACGGAAGGAAAGACAATGGCACGTGAGGGGAAGCCACACCCACCGCGCTCTAATTGCGTAGAGGGGAGTCGGGGGCTGTCAGGCCCGAGGAACACTGTGGCTCTGACAACTTTAATTGGTAGTTGTCTTGTATATCCCTGTCTTCATTAGCAGCCCGAGACCACCTACTTCTGCACACACACACACACACACACACACACAGACACACACAGGCGCGGTTATTGCCAGAAAGGTCATTAGACGTGCTCGGTTTGATAGCAGATTGTGATCCAGAACGGCCGGCGTTCCGCGGTAACCTTCCATGGAAAAAAAGGTATTTCCATTGACTTTAATTCACAGGGCCTGAAAACCTGTTGCCGTGCGTGCCGTAGAGGAGCCGTGGGTTTTTAAATTAAGCAATTACAACAGAACAGCCGAAATATTTACGCCCCCCCCCCCCACACACACACACACACCCGTCCCTCCATTTCCTCCCCAAAACACATTGATCAACAGACCAGAAGAAAAGAGTTACTTCCATTTTAATTTTGTTTTCATTCAAATCCGACAGCTGTGCTTCCCACCATCTGGATGCAGGACAGTTGTGCGTTGTTCAGCCGTTGTTACTCACGCAAACAACCTGCTGGTGCGAAACCACGAGCCGCTCATCTGGTGACTGGGCCGCTGTGTCGGGACGCACGCCGGAGTCAAAGGTTCTGCAACCCCCCCCCCCCCCCATGGAGAAGGAGGAGAGGGATACTAAATGAAGCCAGGAAGCTGGTTCTCAGAATGTTTCTCCCGCTAACGCGTGTCAGACGGTACGACCGGCTCTTTGAGTCCTTCACCTCTTTCTGGACCAGCTTCCTGTCGAGCAGCTCCAGAAACCTCCGGCAATCCTAAAGTGAGCGTCAGCCATCCACACACGAAGCCCGAGAAAGAGACAGCAGGTAAACAGTGAATGCATTTGGCCCAGTATAACTCTTTCATATTGTTTATCCAGGTTTGGATGAAGTGTAAAGGAGCCGTATCGCTTAATTGGCCTACATGAGCATGCAGCTGGCAGGAAGTACGCTGAAGTGTCTCGGCCAGAGAAAGGACACTAATGAGGACGCTCCGTGGGCCTCAGAGATCCTCCTGCACACTTTCATCCAGATCAATAATCACCTGTAGTCTTTTTACACACATGAACACCAAGCCGGAGGATGTGTCCAGATTAAAAACACTTACCCAGAAGCCCCGCCTCCTCGGCCTCCTCGCTCTGTGGTGACTCGCTCTCAATATTCATATATACACACATATCTTCATCTATGTCTATACCTATATATATATAGATATATGGATATAATGCAGGTAGATGAAATCCAGCGTTCTGATTGGTTGAGAGTCCCGAGAGAACCTGTTCACGTTGACCCGAGCGTTCCGTATCACTGCGCAATCAAAGTAAAAAGTTAGATTTTGTGCGACCGTTTAGCTTTTAGCTCGGTGGCGATCGCTGAAAAAACCCGGAAACACCACAAATGATCAGTTTGGTCGGTTTGGGCAACGCGAGCATCTCGCGATTGGACAAAGGTGGACCTCACGAGGGATGTGAATGAATGAGATGGTGCAAGATGGTGCAAGGAGACCCCATGCTGTTTACATGCACCTACAGGGACTATTTTTCTCTAGACCACTGAAACGAGATACACAACGAGATGCACAACGAGATACACAGCACTATTTTGTGCTGAAAGGAAGCTATTTGCTTACTAATTGTAATTCGCTGGTAACCGTATTATAAAAGCAGTAACTTCAGGCAGTACTTTATATTCAATAATGTAACAGTTTGGGCGTCGGGCCCAACAACACCCCGAACTGACGATAAAGTACAGGCTCTCGTACCTTATTACTTATACTCTGCCCGTGGTTGAGCATCAAACGAGCTCTTTAAACTCCCGGATCCAACGTTCACGCCAGCCCCTACGAATCGTATCGGCTCGTTCCACCTTTAACAGCCGCCCTCCTCCATTGAGAGGATCTCCGCGTGTCAACGCGCTGCAGGCCTGAGTGCACAAAGATAAGGGCGTGCCCGTCGTCGGCTGCATGGATGCGAGTCCTGTAAGCTCTCCCTGCGTTGACGGCAGCCACTCGAGAGGTGGCCAGAAAGAAGCCATGCATTATTGAGGCAGGGCTTAGGGGGGGGTTGGGGGGGGTAGTGGGGGTAAGAGTGGATTAGTCTGATATTAACCTCCAGAGGAAGAGAGAAAGGGAAGGGGATGACATGATGAGGATCACCCCTGGCCATTTAAACTGCTTTAATTAAATCCCGAACAGAGAGGCCACCACTCAGACCCGCCGAATGAGGGAGAAAGGGGAGCGGCGAGGAGGAGGAGATGGAGAAGAAAGGGAGGGGGGGGGATGGAGAAAGGTGGAGAGCAGCGGTGAAAGAGACTGATTGGAAAAAAGGAGAAAAGAAAAATAGGCGAGGAGACGAAAGGAGGTGTGTGTGTGCGTGTGTGTGTGTGCGTGTGCGTGCGCGTGCTCACTAACAGAGCGTCCTGCTGTGATGAAGCGGACTAATGAGTTAGCCTTTTGCCATGCCGGTCACATGTGAGTGTGCCTGACAGGGACCGGGGCAGGCTGATAAATCAGCGGCAGAAATGAGATTTATAAAAACCTGATCTCCATTTCGACCTCCCGCCTCGCTCCCCCGGCCCGCCCTGTCACCGCGCCATCTTCATCTGCTCGTGGTTTCTGGTGTTTTTCAGTGGTACATTAGCGTCCCGTTCCACGGCCGAGCTGGTGACTGATTAACCGATTGAAGCAGAGGAGCTGATAATGGAGCCTGACCTGTGCATGCGTTTTAATTCAGCCCAAAGTCAGAACGTTCTCAGGGTCATCTGTCGCTTCCTGCACCACAGGAACACGGTTTGTTTGTTTTTTTGTCAAATTTGTTTGTTGCCGAAGGACGTTCAGCATCAAACAGTCTCTCTATTTCCTATTGCTGATTTTTGAGGACAAAGTATAATAAAATTCACAAACCGCACTCCTCACAGATCGGATTCTTCTGAGATTCTTCAATATTTTCTCTCCCGAATCATGTTTGAGCTCTGCGAAGACAGTTAGGACATAAGCAGGGACACATCATAAGAACACACACCTTTATTTTTCAGTGCCATGAAATGAAGCTTTTGAAGCCAAAAGAAAGTGCGTGATTCATTTAACTAGTTTAAGCTTCCACGATTCTTCAACGCTTCCTCCGTGATTCACCCCCCCCCCCCCCCCCCCCCGCCAACAGAGCTACTTCCTCACATCCAGCAGTGGGGGCTGGCGGTAAAAAGAATACAATAAAATGAGGCCTTGGTTTCCCATTGTGGCCTCCGCGAGTGAGCTTCCATTTGAACCCACAACGCAACAGTATCGGCTCCACAAAGGCCGCCTATTGCACAGCGATCGCATTGAATTGCATTCAGCCGTGAGACGGAGTTATTTTCATTCGACCCGAGTAGTTGCGGAGTTCACTATGTGTCCCCGTCCGTCAAAGAAATAACATTATGAATGGATAAAGCTAAGCGGCAACAGCGCGTTCTTATCAGGAGAAAAACCACTAGGGATCATTTTACATCAAAGTCAGATGTGTTTACGAGTTTAAAACTTAGTGGAGGGGGGGGGTTGTTCACTGCTCCGCCGGGGGCTGAGCATGTAACTCGCCAGCGTCACATCAATCCGGAGGTATTACCCACAATGCCTGGCTACAACCGCAGCTATTGGAGGCTGTTTTGGTGGGAACCGTTCAGAAGATTCTCTTTAGGCCGACAAACCGAAGCCATCTTACGCGTTCGTCTTGCTTCTGATCAAACGCCCCCCTCCCCGCCCTCCTCCCCGCCGTGGGTGTGTAGTTGCGTCCTGCGTGGAGACAAAGGCTGCCGTCAGCCTGGATCCACGCTGATTTGAATAAAACACGCTGTCACAAGTGGGAAAAGAATCAGCATGTCCATGAGACGTCTTCTGCCGTCGTCCCCATCGGACCGATTGGCCCCATGGCGGCGAAACGATTGAAACACGGCCTCATGCTGCACTGGTGGATTACACGACACCTTCGCCTTTTTCCCTGTTGGTACCTGTGTGCATTACCCACAATGCAGTTCAGCTGCCGAGTGGGAGGTCCAGATTCTTTTATTCTCAATTTGCTATTCTTTAACACACGCAGACTGCGTATTAAGGAGGTAAACGTTGGACGATAAAAACGTTCCTGGATCAAACGGCTGGAGTAGACGTTGTACGCTGTCTTTTCTTAAAATGGTTGATATATTCCGCTGGTTTAAAGTTGCAAACATTCCCTGTTGCATCCCAACATATTGTCAACCTGAGCTACAGTTACAATGGAAACATTTTCTGTTTCCACAGAGAGAAAAGGAACAAAAGGCTTGCTGGCGCTGAATGATGCTGTGAGGTGAAGGTGTGCTGCTGCCGCTGTGATCCCCCGAGTTGCACCTCGGTCTAATAAAAGCCTTCACATCAGGAGGCCCGATGCCTGGCTCATTGATCCGCGCGCTGCAGGTGATGTACTGTTACATTTGGGGTTGAACAGACACGCAAAAAAAACACAGACCGCCGGAAAGCTGAGTTGAAACATCCATCTTTGTTCTGCAAAGAGAACTGTGGCTTCCTGTTTGCTGTTGTGTCCTTCAGAATAAAATACCTCTCGTGGTGGTTGCATGCTCCTCTTGACTGTGTCTCTTTGGGGGTCGTGGTCCTAAAAGCCAGTATCGGGGAGATGTTTCGCAAGGATTTAAGGCTGGAGGAGACGGGAAAACATTTAAATAAAACAAATGCTAAAATAAATGAATTTGTTAAACATTTGTAGCTTCACTGTTGGAGCTGCTGCTTCTCCTTCTACTTGTCTACGTTTAATCAAGTTCCCTGTTCTGAAACTCGTTGTTCTTTTGTATAAAAAACCCTCCTCCACCCCGACCATCAAGCAGTACCTCAGGCTTCCATTGTGCTTCGCTGCTTGAGCCACACATTTACCCCGAGTGGCTGATGCACTTTCCTTCGGCTAATGAATACTTCATGCACCATAATAAGGGACGTT